TGGTTCAGAGAGTGGAAAGGCTGGTAGAGGAGCCGGAAGACATGAATGATACTCCCGTCAACAGAATGGAGAGACATTATTGTGCTTGAACATTGAAGGTGCTGACAGGCAATGATGAAGGGACAGAAATTCGGAAACAATACAGATGGTACCTAGGTAAGGAAACGAGAAACTGAGAACAACTTACTGCGAGAGGCATCTTGAAGGTATTGATTGCGTTAATCGTGTGTGGTGGAATAGGCTGAAGAAATCAAGGTACCTCTGAACTATATGAAGGCAGCAAACAGAACTAAAGAAAGAATACTGCTGTCGTCAGAGACGGCAGGCGCGATGCCACTAGAGGCTAGTTCAATCGTAGCAGTCATCGTGAGATGCATGTTGCATCTGGCAACGCATGCCAAAAAAGCATATGGCATAGTGACAGCATGGAAAAGTGAAGATGTCGATAGACCGATCGACATGCGGAAGTCCCCTGCATTAAGGCTTGGTGGTGGGAATTGCGTCAGGGCAGAGAGCGGAGTTGCGGAACATTTGGTCGGCCAATCGGCGTACGGCTGGCATGCTGCAACCGCGCCCGTCATCTCGAGGGCTTGCGCGGCAGGAACCTTGGGAGCAAGAGGACACGCATGCGATTGGGGCCGCCTTCCGATGATATGAGCTGATCTAGCTGCGACAACATCCACCCTACGACATTCACCTCATGGTCATTGCTGTGACACCCCCGCGAACCCTACTGATCGTGTACGACCGCCAACAGACCAGCCTGGCCTCCCGCGCAATTGAGCTATGAACAGACACAAGCGCCGAACGAGTGCACGCTGAACGCTAGCGAAGCGTCGTAGACGACCCATCGCCCCAGGACACGTACAGCTGTACAGGCACGATGAGCGGGAAGAACTGGTGGAACAGCGCCATCTCGGGCCTGGAGTCGCGCCTCGACGGTATCCTGGCCGAAGATGGCACCACCACCACCAAGCCGGCGGGCACAGAGGCAGGCGCCAAACCAGACACGACAGAAAAGGCAGCGACGGACAAGAAGCTTGCGGTCGAACCAGGTGGGTGGCCTTGGACACACTTGCTGTTACCAGCTTTCAGAGAGCTAACGACACAGGCATCTCGCGCACCTCGTCACGAAGCCGACCCAATTCTCGACTACAAGACCGCCTAGCCAAGGCCGTGAACAAGGGATCTGAAGCAAGAACCTCGTCGGACCTTGGATCGAGACCCGCGAGTCCAGCCGTGAATGCTGTCACCGCATCGCCAAGAGCCAGCATAGACTCGAGGGCGCCTGAGCCAGCGACGGAGGCGGTAGCTGTGAAAGAGGAACCCACAGCGGTGAAGGAAGATGAGGCACCCAAGCGAGATGAGAGCAAGGTCGAGGAACCTCCACAGCCTGCCGCAGAGGCACCTGCGCCCATAGTCTCTCCGCCAGCGACTTCACCACCGCCTACACCTCTAGTAGCCGAGCAACCGACCTCGACGCCCGTTCCCACCATGTCCATGCCGTCGATACCCTCCATCGTCACCCCGCAGACCTCGTCTCCCCGCCAGTCCTTCGACAGCGACCCGTCGCGACCTTCAACCGACGTACTCCCCCCAACGCTGTCTACCGAGACCAAAGACCCCGAAGAAGTGCAGGCTGAGCTATCGCTGTTGCAGAAGACATACGAGGAGACGATGCAAGACAATCGCGAGGAGCTCAACTCTCACCTAGAACGAATCGATGCTTTACAGTCGAAGCTCACATACCTCTCCGAGCAGCTTGCTGCCTCTGCAAAGGCCGCCAAGTCCGACTCGGAAGCAACCCCGGCGGACAAGAAGCTGGCGGACAAGAATGCACAGATAGCTGCGCTCATGGAAGAGGGGCAGAAACTCTCAAAGACGGAAATGAAGCATCTGACGACTATCAAGAAGATGCGCACGAAGGCCTTGGAGCAAGACAAGGAGATCGCGACACTCAAACAGCGGCTGACAAAGGCGGAAAAGAGCATCACTGAGCAGTCGGAGAGGGCACGGCGCGCAGAGGCGGCGGACAAGTCTGCGCAAGAAAAGCTGAAGATTGTAGGTAGGATTGAGAAGGACATCGAGACCATCAGAGCGGAGCGCGAGGAGGCTGGGCTCACTATATCTGAGCTGCGGAAACAGCTCAACGATGCGCTCTCACGGGCCGAAGACGCTGAGAAGAGAGCTCAATCTGGAGCGCTGGAAGCAGAGAAGAGGGCCACAGCGTCATTGAAAGAAGATATCGACAATGTCCGGATAGAGAAGAAGCTTGCCGAAGATCGCGCGAAGAGGGAGCTTCAGGCGGCCAGGGACGAAGCGAAGAGCCAGCAGGAGAAAGCAAAGGTCGCCGAGCTCGAATTGCGCGGCGAGATTGCTGTGAGTTCTGATGACCTCTTGGAGAAACGCTTATACTGACAGAATTCTAGAACCTGGAATCTAAACTGGAATTGCTCCGCAGCCGCACAGAAGAGGCGTCATCATCCGCGACTGGCGACTCACAAGCCAAGCTTCTGCGGCAGATTGAGACGCTGCAGACCCAGTACTCGCTGGCTTCCGAGAACTGGCAGGGTATCGAGACCACTTTGACGTCTCGTATGGCAGCTCTTGAGAAAGACCGCGACGAGACCGCAAAGCGCGAGTCTGATGTCCGACGAAAAGCAAGAGAAGTCAACTCGAAAGCACGCCGACTGGAAGACGAGCTCGAGAGCATCAACGAGCGAGCTAGGACGTTCGAACATGATCTGACCGAACAGCGTGCCGCAGCTCAGAAGCTACAAGCTAGGCTCACACAAGCAGAGACGGCAGCGCAAGATGCGCGAGCCGAACTTGAACGCGAGAAGAAGGTGTGGGAAGTCGAGCTTCAACAACGGCTAGAGGACGAGAAGAACAAGTGGAAGGTGGAGATACAGACGCCATCTCTCCTAGGCGATTCACATCATCTACGAACAGACTCACCATCAATAGCACAACGCCGGCATTCCCCCGACCCACTAGGCATATACAGCCGGCGACCCAACCCACGCTCCATCTCCTCCGGTATGGACATGCCCATGATGTCCCCCATGGATCGCATGTTCGACGAAGCCTCGCGCCGCCCCTCTTCTTCCCGCCACAACAAATCCAGCAACGCAACCAAAGTGCGCACCCCCGAACTCGGTACCCCTCAACGACAAGACTCCATCCCATCCAGCATGTCGAACCTCAACGGCGGCCTGGAAACACCGTCTATCCACACCATCGACCACGACAACGACCCCTTTGAAAACACATCCTCCCCCCACCGCACCATAAACGACATGATCAGCGTCTCCACCGCCGGCGCCGGCCCCTCCGTCCAACTCGTCGAGCGCATGAGCGCCGCAGTCCGGCGTTTAGAATCCGAAAAAGCAACTCACAAAGAGGAACTGGCTCGTCTGACTGCACAGCGCGACGAAGCGCGTGAAGAAGTCGTTAAGCTCATGCGTGAGGTTGATGAGACGAGGAAACAGGGGGAGAAGGTGGGGGATTTGGAAAAGAGGTTGGGTGAGATGGAAAATAGGGAGATGACGGCGTTGGAGATGTTGGGCGAGAAGACGGAGAGGGTCGAGGAGTTGGAGGGCGATGTGAGGGATTTGAAAAAGATTTATAGGGAGTTGGTTGATACGTTGAAGTGAGGGGGGTGGTGTAGCCGTGGAGGCGGGAATTGAGATGCTAGCTTTCTTCCGTTTGAGTGTCACGAAACCATGGTTCAAAGTGTTATTTGCTGACCAATGACGTCGCGTACCTCATCGTGGTGTGCACAACCATGGGTAGCAAACAGTGACTCATGTCGTCGAAATGGCCGCCTATATCTATACGCGTCCCTCAAATCGCGAATCTTCGTTCAAAATCACAACTCGACCTTGATGACACACTCAGTAACTTTTTCCCCATCCCTGTGACCCAATACGCCTTTACGACTGCCAACATCATGGACCCTACCAAGATAGCACCCCTCGTCTGGATCAACGGCTTTCCAGGCTGCGGAAAGCTCGCGATCGCTTCCGTCATGAAGACCCTACACACCGACATGATCCTCCTAGACAACCACAAGCTGATCGACCCCGTGGAAGCCAAGTACGCACGAAGTCACCCCGATTACCAAAAAGAACGGCATCGATACCGTCAACACATCTTCAGAGAACACGTGAGTGATCCTGCGTCGTTATCGCGGGTTGTGGTTTTCACTGGTAAGAACTCCTGTTTACTCCTTGATATTGACATTTTGCTAATTATTACTGTTATTGTGACGATGAAGATTACCAGTCGCACAACATCCTAGGACAAAAAGTCGCGGAAGAATATCGGGAAGCAGCGAGAACAGCTGGACGTCCTTTCAAGCCTGTCTATATTGTTTGCGATGTCGAGGAAAACGTTAGGCGGATTGCTGCTGCTGGACGCGTTAGCGGTGGGACGAAGAAACTGACTGATCCTGGGCGTCTGAGGGGTTTTAGGGAGAGATGCGATATCTTTCGGTTTGAGGGCTGTGATGGGTTGAGTGTTGATACGACTGATAGTGCGCCTGAAGAGGTGGCTAGGGAGATACTGGGGTTTGTGGAGGGGAGATGAGGGGTGGGATGGCGATTCCTGGGGCGAGATTGTGGGTTTGCGACACGGATAGGTGGGTGGTGCTACTTCGCTTAGCGGAGAGGTGGTAGCGTGGTGTTCGTTCTTAGCAAATGATAGAGAAAGAGTCACGAAGAGTTTCTCTCAGCCTTGTCACGGAAGTGTGTTTGTGTTCCGCAGCATTCATTGATGCTGGCTAGTCAGGTGGGGTAAGTGTGACTGAACCTCCGTACGAGAGTAGAAGTATCTCTCAGCCTGTTCGCATGCTCTGACGTGCATCGCGAAGACATGAGAAGAACCGAGTTGATGGGTATGTATTATACTTCTAGTGGTGTTACAGTCTATGCAGTGGTTTCTATGGGCTTTGACTACCCAGCCAGGCCTGGCCTAGATACGTTCATCGTCTCAGGTGCTTATCCAAAAGGACAGCTCGGAAGCTTGAAGTTCTCGCCTTTCTTCGGCCTACATCGCCCATACTTCTTGGTTCGTAGCTGCTGTTCATTGCTCCTCGGCACACCTGGCTTGAGGCCCGACGGAGCCGCTCCACCTACTGGCTTTTTCGGTGCCACCAAACCAAGGCCAGCTCTTCGCTTGAGAGTACCACGCTCTACGTCGACCAATGGGTCTGGCTCCCACTCTGCAGTTGTAGCGTCACATGCGAGCTTATCTTGTGTATGCGGGAGACACAATGGATATTCGTCGAAGGTGCCGCAGACGGTCGCGTAGATGTTTCTGCATTTCTGGACACGGGGAAATTTACAGTTTCCACTGGGCGAGCATGGGTCGATGGCGAAGCTCTGTGCAGGCTCTGCTGTGTTCTGCGGACCGCCTGACTCATTGAGGTTGTCACCGTCTAGTAAAGCATCAGACTGACCGATGTCGAGAGTGAGTGGAGCTGATGCGGCTGGCGCAGGTTTTGGCGCAGTCTTATTTGAGTTCGAGAAGCCTGTGGAGCCTGCGACGCACTTTGAAGTGTCGTCAAACATGGCGGTGACAGCATCGGACCACAAGCGGGTGTAGTTGAAGACATTTGCTACGGTGTAGAAGATGCGGCAATCGGCAGGTTCGTATTTGAATTGGAGCGGCTCTGTGTCGTTGGGTCTGACCTGGTCCCTGAGGTTGATGCCAAAGGCTGCTGTGAAGACACCGGAATCCCGGTAGTCACTGGCTGTGAGCTGAGGAACCGTGGCCAATGTTGCGTTGTCGACGCTGAACGCGGGAGATGAGACGGCACCGAGGTCATAGTCGATTCGATCGGCGGAGTAAATTGCGGCACCGCGATTTCCTGGAGCGATGTGTGTTGGTGATGATACACTGGCGTATTTCAACAATCTTGAACATACCTCCTACAGCTTGCATGGGGCCGGTGGCTGGACGCCCGCCTACTACAATGGTTCGAACGCCGACCTGCTTGAACATCTCGACCAGAAGAGCGCATGTGGATGAACAAGCTCCATCTGTCAACTAAAACTTGTCAGCCTTAGCAGTTGACCATGAGCCATAACACTTACTATGGCAATATCCTCGGCCGCGAATGGTGGAGTCGTGTAGTCCAGGGGATACTCAGGAGCATAGCCCGATGGCACCCAGCCTTCGAACAAAGCCGAAGTGAACGCGGAGTTCGAAAGATTGTATCGCTCCTAGTCTCTGTTAGATCTACCTATCGCATGAGACTTGGCTGACAACATACTGTGAGCGAGAAGGAATCGCTCTTTTCCAGCACAGGTCCTGTGTATTCAGCCCAGCTAGTGAAGTTTTGACCCGTTATAGCGTTGAGTTTGGACGTAGCCGTCCATTCAGCAGCGAGGAAGTCGTTATAGTCAGGATCGCTAGGATTAAGACTATTGAAGTAAGATGTGTATGCTTCGCCGATAATGCTTCCGAGATGATGATTTCGGCGCCTGCTTCCTGCGTATGGATCCACGTTCGGGAAAAATCTCTTGAAGGTGCTAAAGGCAAGCTCTACGGTACCCCCGGTGTTTTGCTGGAGGTCTATCACACCTCTTTTCAAGCCTTGTTTAGTTGTGTTGCTGATGAAGTCTGATATGGCATTGCTAAAGTCACCGATGGAGTCAGAGTATTGTGCAAACGAAGGAATGCTGAGTGTCGCAGCGTTGACCTGTGGTAGGAAATAGCCTGAGACAATGCCATCGCTGCGAACTGCGAGACCCTCTTGTCGAACATCAGGATTGGGATATGCTCCGCTAGATTTGATATTCCAAGACTGCTGATCAGGTGTAGGAGCGACAACAGGTCCAGTTGTGTTGAGGTCTTCGGGAATAGCATATGCTGGGTTGTAGAAGTTTCCACTCGGGTCATACGAGGCGGGCAAGTAGTTGAGAACAAAGTAGTTGTAGAGATCTCCACCAGTAGTGAGTGGGCCCGTCTCATACGGCTCTTTCCAGAGCGCGAGCCAGTAATCAAGGTACTCGGTACCGTCCTCCATGACCAGCGCAATCTCGTCTCCTGGATAGAAGCGTACGCCACTGTCCCAAATACCACCGAATCCCTGGATGGCGGAGGCAGGTGTGTAGAACAATTGGTTCCAGTCGGCATTTGGTTCTATACCACCAACGGCATTGATGCTTGCCAATCTTGTGACGTACTCCACAGCATCCATCTCGTTGATTGTAGCGATTGCGATAGGCATCCTACCTTCGTCTCGGCTTGTTACCAGGTCGTTCGTGAGGTAAAGCTTCGGTAGACTTGCACCGTCCGGCGAGGCAGCGGTGATGGAATACGGCGCGAGGAATGAGAAAGCCGCCATGATGCCGCCTCTCAGATACATGTGACCATCATGAGCTCTATCCAGTAAGTGCTGTACGTCAACCTCGAACTGATATTGGTTCTTGTAGACTTGCGTCGTGATGTTGTTCTGGATTTGCGTCAATTCCGACAGGATATCCACAGCGGGCTGCTGATATCCAACTGGAGGTTCCCGGAGATATGCAAGAGTGCTTTGAAACTGCACGGTGTCGTTGATGTACGTGATGAAGCGAGTGGCAACATCGGTGTTGAAAGGTACACTGTTCAGGCAAGCGTATGCGTCGTATGCATAGTGATAAGCGTATCCAGCATTGACGTTGTCGATGATATAGCCGCAAGCACTCGAGTCGGGGTTTTCGGCATCCTCCTGGCGAACACGAATCTTATTGTAAAGACTGTCGGGCGTCGATATAGATAGCGCATCTGATAGATATACAATGCTACACACCGCTACCGAGAGGGCTGATGTTCGGAACAACATTTGGAAGGTGGTAATCGCAGGTCGATTGGAACGGAGTCGTCAAGTTCGTTGCGGGAAAGGGGTCATATCCAAGGAAACTAGAACTCCAAAAGAAAGACGAGTGTAACAAAGCAGCCGAATCTGATGAAAGTCTCTATCAGTTTCGACCAAAAGCATGATAATGAAATATATAGACTTGGAGAGAGACCGCTGTTTTCGGGAAAAGGGTCATAGGAAGGCGGGATACCCGCCCGAGTACGTCTGTTGCTCAGCAGTCTTACTGCGGCACATTGAAGAAGCCAGATCAGGGAGCGACTATATTTGGCCCGGCGGTAAGGAGCGGGAAGGCAGCTGAGCGTACTGCCATGGGAGCCGCTTCATGATGGCGCGTACCAATCATTGCCCAGATCGTCATGCAGCATCCACGAGGTCAATGCAAATTACGGTGATACAAGCCCATCGGTGTATGCAAATTTGCTCCAAGATCCTTACATGACCGGTCAATCTTCGCCGTCAGCTTGATGCTTGCTTTTATGGGTGAAGTTGGCCCCCACGATCGGCCCCCGATTTTGGCCCCCAAGTTTGTTGTAACAGGGGTTCTGCAGCGCTGACCCTCCCGCTTATACGCCACCTATGGGAACTCAATATCGTACAGTCAGCCTGATTGAGGCTGTGAATCACTTGGCCTACCACAACCCGAACACGTTCATTGCGAGAGGGGCAGGTGCATTTACACATTAGATCTTAGGTCCTCGAGACGCAGCCTTGTCAAGGTCGATACAGCTCGGGCTTTGAAACCGCATTCGTCGAAACAGTATGTTCGCTATCGGTCAGATCACAGTTAGAGATGATGGCGACGTCTTTGCACGAGACATGGTCGTTCACGCAGCGATTCAAGAGTCTTTCCCTATCGCTTCCGACATCTACGAACGATTGTTTGATAGTATACTTGGCAGCGAGCTCTTTGAAGAGTGGCTACAATGTAAAGACCATTGGCAGCTCCATGTTGTTGGCGGGCCGGGAGCAGGAAAGGTCAGTCGCTATCTAGAACGCTAACGAAGATGCTCATGGGATATTCAGACTGCGTTCGCATCACTAGTAGCCAAACGCTTGAGAGAATGCATGTTGGCGTCAGAAGAGCAGACCTTGCAGCTTGCCAGCATCTTCATCAACCATCGCAAAATCGAAAATGAACTCGCCTTCCTAGAGGATCTCTTGGATACCATATACAACCATGTGTCGCCCCCTAGCTGCAATATCGATCCTGCAACAACTTTGGCTTACGGTGCATATAAGGATTTGCTGCGCACAGGGAAGAGAGCTTCGAAACGGATTACTTCCATTGCACAAGCACTCCGCTTGAGGACCGCGGAGTTGGCCAAAAAGGGAGACGTAGTGCTCATCATCGACCATCTAGATCAGTGCAGTCCATCGCTACGGGAACTGGTACAGCAGCAGTTCGATATCCTGCAAGATGAGGGTCTGAAGATACTTGTCACGTCACGATTACCCAGGCATGAACCAACAATGAACATATGGTGCGATTATCACCCGCGAGACTCACCCCTCACGGTGTTTTGGCGCTGTTCTAAATGCCAGGAAAGAGATATTTGCATCAGTTGCAAGAGAGAAGATACTTCTTGTCAGCAGTGGTAAGTACAGTCCGGCCTGGGTGATACCCAGATGAAACGCAGCCGCTACAACAACAATAGCTAACTCCATAGTCAGCGATTCGGTGGGCACTTGGAAGTCCCCAGAGTATTACAATGTGACGCTCGATGGCATGTCAGACGATGCTATGGCAGATTACCTAGAATGGGACCTCGAGTGTGAGCATGGCGATCTCGGATTCAATACCTTAACGGATCCATCGCAACCTCCACTATCCTCGTTCGGGCTCGCTTTTAGAAACACCATGCACGGTAACAAAGGTCATGAGTGGATACAACAGATCGCGCGTTATGTCGACGGAAGCATCCTGCAAGCAAAGCTTGCCGTTGACAGGATTCACAGCCTGCCTTCTCCTGAGGCCCTCGATCTCATGCCAAGACGTATACCGAGGAATGTCCAAGATCATTTCAACACCGCGATCGAAACGATCAAGCAGCAATCGGCTAATAGCTCCTCTATAGCTCTCAAGACTATCGCAGCAGTGGGTCGGAAAGGAGATGCGGCTCGAGGCTTGCCGCTATCCCGTCTTGCCAACCTACTGCGAGAACGAACTCGCAATCCACACATGAGCACCATGCCCCCTCGCAGTCCAGAAGACGTGCTGGGGTCCGCGAACGGATACCTCACAATCATTGCCCCGCCATTTGTTGGGCGAGAATCCACCATTGCAGCGTGTCACCGCCTTTTCTGGTTGTTTGTCAACGACGAATATAACGAGGACTTAATTTGGGCGTATGCCCAATTGCCGACGTCCAAGGTCTCTAAATCGCATACATTTGAGTCTCCGTTACTTCGGCAGTTGTCAGCTTTCCAATCACCATTACCAAGCTCCAGACGCGAGTCATCAGATTCTGTTAAGGGGCTGGGATTGGTCTTTTCTGCTTCGCCAATGATTTCGCCGCCGGAAGAGAGGGGGTTGGATTTCCAGCCAAAAGAGTAGATTTAGAGAGAACATAAACGACCATAACATGTAATCTTCTGTCTCACACTATGTAAAAATTCTTGCAAGGAATTGTATCCGTCTCCGTCATTGAGCCTGGCAAGCTACTGCTTGTGGTCTTAAGGCGTTGCCAAGTCTTGTAGCTCAGATGGCGAACGTCGAAGGCACCGGTCCGCCGGAAACACCAAGGCTCGTTTGTATCTGTTGCCTCTTCTAATAAGATACCATGACCTTCAAGCCAAACTACTTCCGCCATGGTATTTGCTTCGTCCTTGTTGGAGCGTTCCGTCAATGCAAGCACAACAAACATCGTTTTAGGGTCGTCCAAATTGGAGACAAGATCGGGAAATGCATCGATCTCATCGGTCTTGTCGAATGCGTGAGGAATCTCCAAAGACCATGAATGGGATTGACTTTGGCTCAGACGACCTACGTGTAAGAAGCCTTGGATCGCAATCTTCTTACATTTCAAGGTTGGCTCGTTTTCACGTCGTTCATCTGGCGGCGGTGTCTGCGAATTTTGCTGTGCATTGGAATAATGCGTTCCTTGTCTTGAAATAGGTATACGGGTCGCATGTTCCATTCGTAGCGGCGATGAAGTCCTCGATCTGGGTAGGGGGCGAGGGTTTTGATCGCCGTCTATAGATCTAAGTCCGTCTGGCTGCGAGCTCGTACGTATCGTCGTACCCGAATGACGCCGCCTCTCGCTCGACAAGTCCAATTCTCTTGTCATATCGCTAGCGTTTTCCGACTGTCTTGTCGGCAGTCCTGGTCGGATGCCTTGCTCACCAATGTTGAACCAAATCTTGTTGCCAGCGTGATCTCGAACAATGTAGCTTCTCTGCCACCGAGCCGATCTGCTCGGGCTCAATATCGTACCTTTCACAGAAGTCCAAGACCAGGTTGGGTTTATGTTCAGCTCCAAAGGCCGTTTGCTGGTTATGCAGTCTAGAACTCTCCAAGCCAGCTGCTCCTCAAGAGCTCCCTCCCACATTCCCGCAACGTACTCCTCGCTTTGTATTTCTCGTAGCCTTTTTACCACACCCCAGATTGCCATACGTTTGTCGGTCTGGTTAGTAAGGTCAAGATTCGTATAGATCATGACTGCTGATCGCCATAGGTCATCAAGCGAGTCGTCATTGACCCCAGAAAGCAGTGTCGTACCCCTTGTGCTCTCCTGTAGACGTCCACGCCAATGGCGATCACTTGCCGACTGTTGGTCTATAGGCAAAGGCAACCCAGCCGGAAGAGTTTCGCAAGCGCTCATCTCGGTACAGTCCCAGAAGATCTGCTGTTTGCTGAAATGCAAGATCCTGGGTGCAAGCATACGCTCTGGAGCCTGTCAGGCAAGCTTGCGGAGTTTCTCAGAGACACTGACCTTGGTAAACCCAACCGCGTCTGTACAGTGGCTTAACGAGAAGTCCTTGTTCCCACAGATCCCCACGTACAATCACCCACCGTCGCTTACCCAAGATAGGAGAAACCCCATCGGGGTCCACAATAGCTGGCAAGACGTCTCGCGCCTCTCTTTGGCGAAAGAGACCCCCAGCGCCGTTCTCGGAATCGGCAGCAGCGATGTTGCAGAATGAGTTCCTATACACCTGTTCCATGCGAGAACTTTCACGCTTCCAGTCGTCGCCGTCTCCTTGCTATACAGTCATCAGCACGACCTAACAGGTAGGGGGACAATACTACCATGATGCAGACTGAATCAATCAGGGCAATGTTAGCTTCCACTATCTCTTTGACGTTATAATGAGAGCTTACGAGAATCAATCCAAATATAATCGACCTCGAGGAACCAGGCCACCTCAATCGCCTGCTTGAAATTGTTGGACAATTTACGCCACGGCAGACCGACAAGCATGAACTCTTCGAGAGTACTAGAGTTCAGTGTCACCAACGGAGCTTTACCCCAACAGTGACTCAGAGTGACGTAGGGGCCTTTGACATTATTGAGCTTGGTATTCACTACCCGCAGGCGATCCCCTGTACGTTTGCCGCCGATATGTAGTAGTCGTGTAGGGATGAACTTGCTCGCCGAGCCAGCGCGCTTAGGACAGTGTTTGTGTTCAATGCCACAGGTCCTGAACCAAGCCTTGATCTGCTGGCCACCATTAAACGCAGGATTTGTACTCGTGCCGAGCTCCGCAGGAGACAATAAACCCTCGATCTCTTCTTCGAGGACACAGTAGAAAACCCGTTCCGGTATTCCGAAGATCTGTGGCTTTCCCTCGTGATTGTCGTTGTCCTCATCATTGATGAGCCTCGGTACAACTCGGAAAATGATTACTGCTTCGTTTTTAGTCTCTCGGGTACGTCCTAAGGTACGAATACTCCATCGATGTAGAGATACGACCGAACCCTGGCCCGGCAGTAGTTTGTCGACTCTTGCCACCTCCTCATGCAG